TTGAATGCCACAATTATGGTGGTGGTGGCTTTAAAGGTTTGCATGCGGAATGCAGCCTCTGTCTGTCTGTGTGTTCACGATGGTGGTGAGTGGGTGGGTGGGTGAGTGGGTGGGTGGGTGGATGAGTGAGTGAGTGGGTGAGTGAGTGAGTGAGTGGGTGAGTGAGTGGATGAGTGAGTGGGTAGGTGGGTGAGTGAGTGAGTAGGTGGGTGGGTAGGTGGGTGAGTGAGTGAGTAGGTGGGTGGGTGGGTGAGTGAGTAGGTGGGTGGGTGAGAGAGTGAGTGGGTGAGTGAATGGGTAGGTGGGTGAGTTAGTGAGTGGGTGGGTTGGTGAGTGAGTGGGTGATTAGGTGGGATAATGAGTGAGTGAGTGAGTGGGAGGGTGGGTGGGTGAGTGGGTGAGTGAGTGAGGGGGTGGATGGGTGGGTGAGTGGATGAGTGAGTGAGTGGGTGGTTGGGGGGGTGAGTGAGTGGGTGGTTGAGTGAGTGAGTGAGTTGGTGGGTGGGTGGGTTGGTGACTGAGTGAGTGGGAGGGTGGATGGGTGGGTGGGTTAGTGAGTGAGTGAGTGAGTGGGTGGGTTGGTGAGTGGGTGAGTGTGTGGGTGGGTGGGTGAGTGAGTGAGTGAGTGGGTGGGTTGGTGAGTGAGTGGGTGGGTGGGTGAGTGGGTGGGTGAGTGAGTGGATGGGTGGGTGGTTGGGTGGGTGAGTGAGTGGGTGGGTGGGTGAGTGAGTGAGTGAGTGGGTGGGTTGGTGAGTGGGTGAGTGTGTGGATGGGTGGGTGAGTGAGTGAGTGAGTGGGTGGGTTGGTGAGTGAGTGGGTGGGTGGGTGAGTGGGTGGGTGAGTGAGTGGATGAGTGAGTTGGTAGGTGGGTGAGTGTGTGAGTGGGTGGGTGGATGGGTTGGTTGGTGAGTTAGTGAGTCGGTGGTTTGGTGAGTGAGTGGGTGGGTGAGTGGGTGAGTGTGTGAGTGGGTGGGTGGATGGGCGGGTTGGTGAGGGGGTGAGTAAGTGAGTGAGTGGGTGGATGGGTGGGTGCGTGGATGAGTGGATGGGTGAGTGAGTGAGTGGATGGGTGGGTGAGTGAGTGAGTGAGTGTGTGGGTGGGTGGGTGAGTGAGTGGGTGGGTGGGTGAGTTAGTGGGTGGGTGAGTGGGTAGGTGGGTGGGTGAGTGGGTGGATGGGTTGGTGTGTGAGTGGGTGGGTGGGTGAGTGTGTGGATGGGTGGGTGAGTGGGTGGGATGGTGAGTGAGTGGGTGGGTGACTGACTGAGTGGGTGGGTGAGTGGGTGGGTGAGTGGGTGAGTGTGTGGGTGAGTGAGTGGGAAAGTAGCTGGGTTGGTGAGTGAGTGTGTGGATGGGTGGGTGAGTGGGTGGGTTGGTGTGTGAGTGGGTGGGTGGGTGAGTGTGTGGATGGGTGGGTGAGTGGGTGGGTTGGTGAGTGAGTGGGTGGGTGACTGACTGAGTGGGTGGGTGGGTGAGTGGGTGGGTGGGTGTCTGTGTGGGTGGGTGGGTGAGTGAGTGGGTGGGTGGGTGAGTGAGTGAGTGGGTGTGTGGCTGGGTGGGTGAGTGAGTGAGTGGGTGGGTCGGTGAGTGTGTGGGTGGGTGGGTGAGTGACTGAGTGGATGAGTGGGTGGGTGAGTGGATGGGTGAGTGGGTGGGTGGGTGGGTGAGTGAGTGGGTGGGTGGATGAGTGAGTGGGTGAGTGAGTGGGTGATTGAGTGGGTGAGTTAGTGAGTGGGTGGGTGATGGTTGAATTCGTGAATATCGATTAATTCATGGGTGAAAACTCACTGCAGCCACTTGAGGTCGCACTCAGCTACCCACTCAGCTACCCACTCAGCTCACTACCCACTCACTCACCCACCAATCAACGACCTGGCAATACCCACAGCAGCCACCAGAGGGCACTCAGAATCACGTCCACTCACCTTAGAGGGTCAACACAAGAACATTCACAGCAAATCCACCCACTCAGCTGTTCACTCACCCACCCACCCACTCACCCACCCACCCACTCACTTACCCACCCACTCACTAACTCACCCACCCACTCACCCACTCACTCACCCACTCACCCACCCACTCACTCACTCACCCACCCAATCACTCACTCACCCACCCACCCACCCACTCACCCACCCACTAACCCACCCACTCACCCACTCACTCACCCACTCACCCACCCACCCACTCACCCACCCACTCATTCACTCACTCACCCAACCACTCACCCACTCACTCACCCACCCACTCATTCACCCACCCACCCACTCACCCACTCACTCACCCACCCACTCACCCACCCACTCACCCACTCACCCACCCACTCACTCACTCACCCACTCACCCACCCACTCACTCACTCATACACTCACCCACCCACTCGGCTGTTCACTCACCCACCCACTCACCCACTCACCCACCCACCCACCCACTCACCCACCCACTCACTCATACACTCACCCACCCACTCGGCTGTTCACTCACCCACCCACTCACCCACTCACCCACCCACCCACTCACCCACCCACTCACTCATACACTCACCCACCCACTCGGCTGTTCACTCACCCACCCACTCACTCACCCACCCACTCACTCACTCACCCACTCACCCACTCACTCACCCACCCACTCACCCACCCACTCACCCACCCACTCACCCACCCACTCACCCACCCACCAATCAACGACCTGACAATACCAACAGCCAGCCACCAGAGGGCACTCAGAGTCACGTCCACTCCCCTTAGAAGGTCAACACAAGAACACTCACAGCAAATCCACTCACTCAGCTGTTCACTCACCCACCCACCCAGCTGTTCACCCACCCACCCAGCTTTTCACCCACCCACTCACTCACCCACCCACCCACTCACCCACTCACTCACTCACCCACCCACTCACCCACTCACCCACCCACCTACCCACCCACTCACTCACCCACCCACTCACCCACCCACCAATCAACGACCTGACAATACCCACATCCAGCCACCAGAGGGCACTCAGAGTCACGTCCACTCCCCTTAGAAGGTCAACACAAGAACACTCACAGCAAATCCACTCACTCAGCTGTTCACTCACCCACCCACCCAGCTGTTCACCCACCCACCCAGCTGTTCACCCACCCACTCACTCACCCACCCACCCACTCACCCACTCACTCACTCACCCACCCACTCACCCACTCACCCACCCACCTACCCACCCACCCACTCACCCACCCACCTACCCACCCACCCACCAATCAACGACCTGACAATACCCACATCCAGCCACCAGAGGGCACTCAGAGTCACGTCCACTCCCCTTAGAAGGTCAACACAAGAACACTCACAGCAAATCCACTCACTCAGCTGTTCACTCACCCACCCACCCAGCTGTTCACCCACCCACCCAGCTGTTCACCCACCCACTCACTCACCCACCCACCCACTCACCCACTCACTCACTCACCCACCCACTCACCCACTCACCCACCCACCTACCCACCCACCCACTCACCCACCCACTCACCCACCCACCCACCAATCAACGACCTGACAATACCAACAGCCAGCCACCAGAGGGCACTCAGAGTCACGTCCACTCCCCTTAGAAGGTCAACACAAGAACACTCACAGCAAATCCACTCACTCAGCTGTTCACTCACCCACCCACCCAGCTGTTCACCCACCCACCCAGCTGTTCACCCACCCACTCACTCACCCACCCACTCACTCACCCACTCACCCACCCACTTACCCACTCACTCACCCACCCACCCACGACCTGACAATACCAACAGCCAGCCACCAGAGGGCACTCAGAGTCACGTCCACTCCCCTTAGAAGGTCAACACAAGAACACTCACAGCAAATTCACTCACTCAGCTGTTCACTCACCCACCCACCCAGCTGTTCACCCACCCACCCACTCACCCACTCACTCACTCACCCACTCACCCACCCACTCACCCACCCACCAATCAACGACCTGACAATACCAACAGCCAGCCACCAGAGGGCACTCAGAGTCACGTCCACTCCCCTTAGAAGGTCAACACAAGAACACTCACAGCAAATCCACTCACTCAGCTGTTCACTCACCCACCCACCCAGCTGTTCACCCACCCACTCACTCACCCACTCACTCACCCACCCACCCACCTACTCACCCACCCACCCACTCACCCACTCACTCACCCACTCACCCACTCACTCACCCACCCACCCACCAATCAACGACCTGACAATACCAACAGCCAGCCACCAGAGGGCACTCAGAGTCACGTCCACTCCCCTTAGAAGGTCAACACAAGAACACTCACAGCAAATCCACTCACTCAGCTGTTCACTCACCCACCCACCCAGCTGTTCACCCACCCACCCAGCTGTTCACCCACCCACCCAGCTGTTCACCCACCCACCCACTCACCCACTCACTCACTCACCCACTCACCCACCCACTCACTCACTCACCCACCCACCCACTCACTCACCCACCCACCCACTCACCCACCCACCCACTCACCCACCCACCCACTCACCCACCCACCCACTCACCCACTCACCCACTCACTCACCCACCCACCCACCAATCAACGACCTGACAATACCAACAGCCAGCCACCAGAGGGCACTCAGAGTCACGTCCACTCCCCTTAGAAGGTCAACACAAGAACACTCACAGCAAATCCACTCACTCAGCTGTTCACTCACCCACCCACCCAGCTGTTCACCCACCCACCCAGCTGTTCACCCACCCACCCAGCTGTTCACCCACTCACCCAGCTGTTCACCCACCCACCCACTCACCCACTCACTCACTCACCCACTCACCCACCCACTCACTCACTCACCCACCCACCCACTCACTCACCCACCCACCCACTCACCCACCCACCCACTCACCCACCCACCCACTCACCCACCCACCCACTCACCCACCCACCCACTCACCCACTCACCCACCCACCAATCAACGACCTGACAATACCCACATCCAGCCACCAGAGGGCACTCAGAGTCACGTCCACTCCCCTTAGAAGGTCAACACAAGAACACTCACAGCAAATCCACTCACTCAGCTGTTCACTCACCCACCCACTCAGCTGTTCACCCACCCACTCACTCACCCACCCACTCACTCACCCACCCACCTACCCACCCACTCACCCACCCACCTACCCACTCACCCACCCACCATGGCGATCATCACCTCCCTCTGCGCCTTCATCTACCACCTCCCGGCTCTCAGCCGATGGCTGCTGCGACCTTACTACGCCCTCAGCGCCACCCTCAGCGTCGCCTTCCTCGCCGTGAGGAAGCTTCCGCCGCTCTGCTCAGCCCTGCCTAGCGACAGGGAGGACGGTAATTCGTGCGACTTCGACTGGGTACGTACCCGGAACGTCGGGGCTCTCCGTGCGGTTGTGTGCGTGTGTGTGTGTGTCTGTCTCCGTGGGGGTGTCTCCGTGGGGGTGTCTCTGCGTGGGTGACTGAGAGTGTCTGTGGGTGTCTCTGTGTGGTGTCTCTGTGGGTGTCTGTGGGTGTCTATGGGTCTCTATGGGTCTCTGTGTGTCTCTGTGGGGTTGACTGAGAGTCTCTGGGTCTCTGTGTGGTGTCTATGGGTCTCTGTGTGGTGTCTCTGTGGGTGTCTGTGTGTCTCTGTGGGTGTCTGTGTGTCTCTGTGGGTCTCTGTGTGTCTCTGTGGGTGTCTGTGTGTCTCTGTGGGTTTCTGTGGGTCTCTGTGGGTCTCTATGGGTCTCTGTGGGTCTCTGTGGGTGACTGAGAGTCTGTGGGTCTCTGTGTGGGTGTCTCTGTGGGTCTCTGTGGGTGTCTCTGTGGGTCTCTATGGGTCTCTGTGGGTGACTGATAGTCTGTGGGTCTCTGTGTGTCTCTGTGTGGTGTCTCTGTGGGTCTCTGTGGGTCTCTGAGAGTCTATGGGTCTCCGTGGGTGTCTGTGGGTCTCTGTGGGTCTCTATGGGTCTCTATGGGTCTCTGTGTGTCTCTGTGGGGTTGACTGAGAGTCTGTGTGTCTCTTTGGTTCTCTGTGGGTCTCTGTGTGTCTCTGTGGGTGTCTGTGGGTCTCTGTGGGTGTCTGTGTGTCTCTGTGTGTCTCTGTGGGTCTCTGTGGGTGTCTGTGTGTCTCTGTGTGTCTCTGTGGGTCTCTGTGGGTGTCTGTGTGTCTCTGTGGGTTTCTGTGTGTCTCTGTGTGTCTCTATGGGTCTCTGTGTGTCTCTGTGGGTTTCTGTGTGTCTCTGTGTGTCTCTATGGGTCTCTGTGTGTCTCTGTGGGTTTCTGTGGGTCTCTGTGGGTCTCTATGGGTCTCTGTGGGTCTCTGTGGGTGACTGAGAGTCTGTGGGTCTCTGTGTGGGTGTCTCTGTGGGTCTCTGTGGGTGTCTCTATGGGTCTCTGTGGGTGACTGATAGTCTGTGGGTCTCTGTGTGTCTCTGTGTGGTGTCTCTGTGGGTCTCTGTGTGTCTCTGAGAGTCTATGGGTCTCCGTGGGTGTCTGTGGGTCTCTGTGGGTCTCTATGGGTCTCTGTGGGTCTCTATGGGTCTCTGTGTGTCTCTGTGTGGTGACTGAGAGTCTGTGTGTCTCTTTGGTTCTCTGTGGGTGTCTGTGGGTCTCTGTGGGTCTCTATGGGTGTCTGTGTGTCTCTGTGGGTGACTGAGAGTCTGTGGCTCTCTGTGGGTGTCTCTGTGGGTGTCTGAGAGTCTCTGTGGGTCTCTGTGGGTGACTGAGAGTCTGTGGCTCTCTGTGGGTGTCTCTGTGGGTGTCTGAGAGTCTCTGTGTGGTGTCTGTGGGTCTCTATGTGTCTCTGTGGGTGACTGAGAGTCTGTGGGTCTCTGTGGGTGTCTCTGTGGGTGTCTGTGTGTCTCTGAGGGTCTCTGTGGGTGTCTATAGGTCTCTGGGTGTCTCTGTGGGTGACTGAGAGTCTGGGTCTCTGTGGGTGTCTTTGTGTATCTATGGGTCTCTATTGGTCTGTGTGTGTCTCTTTGTGGTGACTGAGAGTCTTTGGGTCTCTGTGGGTGTCTTTGTGTATCTATGGGTCTCTATGGGTCTCTGTGGGTCTCTGTGGGTGTCTGTGGGTGTCTCTGTGGGTGACTGAGAGTCTGTGGGTCTCTGTGGGTCTCTATGGGTCTCTATGGGTCTCTGTGGGTGACTGAGAGTCTGTGGGTCTCTGTGTGGGTGTCTCTGTGGGTCTCTGAGAGTCTATGGGTCTCTGTGGGTGTCTGTGGGTATCTATGGGTCACTGACAGTCTATGGGTGTCTATGGGTTTCTATGGGTGTCTATAGGTCTCTGGGTGTCTATGGGTCACTGACAGTCTATGGGTCTCTGTGGGTCTCTATGGGTTTCTCTGGGTCTCTGTGGCTGTCTGTGGGTATCTATGGGTCTCTATGGGTGTCTGTGGGTATCTATGGGTCTCTATGGGTGTCTATGGGTCTCTATGGGTGTCTATAGGTCTATGGGTGTTTATGGGTCACTGACAGTCTATGGGTCACTGACAGTCTATGGGTCTCTATGGGTTTCTATGGGTCTCTGGGTGTATGTGGGTATCTATGGGTCTCTGTGGGTGTCTCGACTGGGTTACGAGTGGGGGGGGTTGACCATACTTCACCATTATGGTCAATGAATGTTGTAGCGCCGCACCGACCCCGACCCCCATGCGGCCTAGATAAGCTCCGCCTGGAAAGCCGAGCCATCGGTGATATTTAAACTAGGCGAGACCGTAGGCTTCCAAGTGAGATGTGCGGCCTGGTAGATAGCCGGAGAAAGTGACGCTTTCCCCGGCGCGGATTACTAGGGAAGACGTAGGCTGTCAGTTACCGTTACGGCCTAGTGCTTGTTGGCCGGGTGAGGTGAGCGTTTTTACGGCGAGCGTAACTAGGTAAGGCCGTAGGCTTTCAGTTACCGTAACGGCCTCGTGCTTTACCGGGTAAGGTGAGCTTTCCCTGTCGGGAAAAACTAGGTAAGACCGTAGGCGTCCAGTTACGTTAGCGGCCTAGTGCGTGTCGGCCGGGGACGGTGAGCTTTCCCCGGCGGGAAAAAACTAGGTAAGACCGTAGGCGTCCAATTACGGTAGCGGCCTAGTGCGCGTCGGCCGGGGACGGTGGGCTTTCCCCATCGGGAAAAACTAGGTAAGACCGTAGGCGTACAGTTACGGTAGCGGCCTAGTGCGTGTCGGCCGTGGACGGTGGGCTTTCCCGGCTGGAAAAAACTAGGTAAGACCGTAGGCCTCCAGTTACGGTAGCGGCCTAGTGCGTGTCGGCCGGGGACGGTGGGCTTTCCGTGGCAGCGAAAACTAGGTAAGACCTTAGGCTTCAAATTACCGTAGCGGCCTCGTGCGTGTCCGCCGGGTACGGTGAGCTCTCAACGGCTTGGGATAACGAGGCAAGACCATAGGCTTTCGGGTGGCATGAGTTGTACTGCAGTGCCAGGCTAGGTGCATGAGGAGGAGGACCTCACGGGACAGACCCTGCAGGTGCCATGGGTTGACTGCTGTGCCAGGCTAGGTGCATGAGGAGGAGGTCACGCGACAGACCCTGCAGGTGCCATAGGTTGTACTGCTGTGCCAGGCTAGGTGCACGAGGAGGGGGAGGAGGTCACGGAACAGACCCAGCAGGTGACCTGGGTTGTACTGCTGTGCCAGGCTAGGTGCACGAGGAGGTCACGTGACAGACCCAGCAGGTGACCTGGGTTGTACTGCTGTGCCAGGCTAGGTGCACGAGGAGGTCACGTGACAGACCCAGCAGGTGACCTGGGTTGTACTGCTGTGCCAGGCTAGGTGCACGAGGAGGTCACGTGACAGACCCTGCAGGTGCCATGGGTTGTACTGCACCTAGCCTGTGAGTGAGTGAGTAGGTGAGTGGGTGAGTGAGTGAGTGGGTCAGTGAGTGGGTGGGTGAGTGGGTGAGTGAGTGGGTGGGTGGGTGAGTGGGTGAGTGAGTGGGTGGGTGGGTGAGTGGGTGAGTGAGTGGGTGGGTGGGTGAGTGGGTGGGTGAGTGGGTGAGTGAGTGAGTGGGTGGGTGAGTGGGTGAGTGGGTGAGTGAGTGGGTGGGTGGGTGAGTGGGTGGGTGAGTGGGTGGGTGAGTGGTGAGTGGGTGAGTGAGTGGGTGAGTGAGTGGGTGAGTGGTTGAGTGAGTGGGTGAGTGGTTGAGTGAGTGGGTGAGTGGGTGAGTGGGTGAGTGGTTGAGTGAGTGGGTGAGTGGTTGAGTGAGTGGGTGAGTGGTTGAGTGAGTGGGTGAGTGGTTGAGTGAGTGGGTGAGTGGGTGAGTGAGTGGGTGAGTGGTTGAGTGAGTGGGTGAGTGGGTGAGTGAGTGGGTGAGTGGGTGAGTGTCCGGCTGCGACTCGCTCCTAACAGCACTTGCCCCTACGCACTGCGTGAGCTACCTGGGGGAGCTTTGCCTCTGTCTGTGTGCGTCTCTGCGTTCTCAGAGGGAGATTGAGATCCTCATGTTCCTCAGCGCCATCGTTATGATGAAGAATCGACGCGCGAGTGAGTTAGCACCACCACCAATACCACCACTACCATCATCACCATCACCATCATCACCATCACCATCATCACCATCACTACCACCATCACCACCACCACCATCACCACCACCATCACCACCATCATCACCACCACTACCACCACCACCACTACCATCACTACCATCATCACCAGTACCACCACTGCCACCACCACCATCACTACCATCACCACCATCACCATCATCACCATCACTACCATCACCACCACCAACACCACCACTACCATCACCACCACCACCATCATCATCATCACCACCACCAACACCACCACTATCATCACCATCATCACCACCACCACCACCACTACCACCACTACCACCACTACCATCACTACCATCATCACCACCACCATCACCATCATCACCACCATCACGATCACCATCACTACCACCACTACCACCACCACTACCACCACTACCATCATCACCACCATCACTAATATCATCACCGCCATCACGATCACCATCAATACCATCATCATCATCATCACCACCACCATCACTACCACCACTAACATCATCACCACCACTACCACCATCACAACCACCACTACTATCATCACTAACATCATCAGCACCACCATCACCACCACTACCACCACCATCACTACCACCACTACCACCATCACCACCATTACCACCACCATCACCACCATTACCACCACCATCACTACCACCACTACCACCATCACCACCATCATCACCACCACTACCATCATTACAACCACCACTACCATCATCACTAACATCATCATCACCACCATCACCACCATCACCACCATTATCACCACCACCACCATCACTAACATCACCACCATCACTAATATCATCATCATCAACATCACCACCACTACCATCATCACCACTACCACCACCTTCACCACCATCACTACCACCACTACCACCATCACCACCACCATCACCACCACCATCACCACCACTACCATCATCACTAACATCATCATCACCACCATCACCACCACCACCACTAATATCATCATCACCACCATCACCACCACCTCCATCACTAATATCATCATCTCAACCACCATCACCACCACTACCACTACCATCACCACCATCACTACCACCACTACCATCATCATCACCACCATCATCATTACCACCATCATCACCACCACCATCACTAACATCATCACCACCATCACTAATATCATCATCACCAACATCATCACCACCACTACCATCATCACCACTACCACCACTACCACTACCATCACCAACAACAACCGCCATTCGCCACTAAGTGGCGGTGACGTCACCACGACGCTTGTGCCAGGCTATGTGCACCCTGAGGCCACGTGAAGTGTCGAACGCCCGCTGGCAGGAGGTCACGGGGCAGACCCAGGTGCCACGGGTCGACTGACTGAGATGACTGGCTGATGCACCACCTGTGCCCCCTACTGTGCCAACCTGCTGTGCTTTAGCCACCCGGCGCTCCGCTCGCTGTTGTGAGCGTCGTTCCTCCGCCCTCCGTTGTTGTTGGAGGGCGACTGCCTCCAACTGCCCAGTAGCATCCTTCACGAGCCTCCTCCACAGAGGCCGATCTTGACACCGCTGGTACCAGTCATCGGCAAGTCCACTCAGCTCCACGTCCTCCTGTACCACATCACTCCATCTCTTCTCTAGCCCGTGCCGCGCCCGCTTAGCCCCCTCAATCCGGCCAAACAAAAGCTGTTTCGGCATGCGGTGGCTGGGCATGCGGGCTACATGACCCAGCCATCGCAGCCTTGCCTGCCGGAGGAGCTCACCGATGGGACCCTGCCCAGATCTTTCAAGGATTTGTGAGCTCCTCACACAATCCAGTCTGGTTAAACCCAGGATGGATCGTAGGCAGGCCAGCCTAAATGTTTCTAACCGGCGAAGATGTTCCATTAGGGGGGTCCACGTTTCGCAAGCATAGAGAAGGGAGGGAATGACCGTGGCCGAGAAGACCTGAAGCTTAGTGCGGAGCGACAGACCAGGTAGCTTCCACACAGCGTTACGCAACCGATGAAAAGATATTGCCGCTCGACTGATTCGGAGTGAGACCTCTGCTGTTAAACTGGAGCCAGTCATAAGCACACTGCCCAGGTATGGGAAACTCTCCACTCTCTCCACAACTGCCCCATCACCGATTGGGAGTTGTGGGGGTGGAGTGTCTGATGGTACAAAATACCCAGGCAGGTGCTTAGTTTTGGTGGGGCTGATGGTAAGGCCCCACCTCTTAGTGGCACGCTCCAGTCTCAGCAGCAGCGTCTCCAACTCCTCCTCTGACTGAGCAGCTATTACCAAATCATCAGCATACATAACGTGGTTGAGCAATAGGGAGCCATCCCTTGACCGCACCCGGGCATCGATTAGCCTCCCATTATATCTGTACCATATGGAGATTCCCCCGGTACAGCTATTGAAGGCTTCACGAACTACGTGGTCAAAATAGATGTTAAATAATGTGGGAGCCAGAGGACATCCCTGTCGCACCCCAAGGTGTACAGGGAATGGCTCTGACTCCCGGCCACGTAGTTTTACCCGGGCCCGCTCACCATCATGAAGGTCCTTAATGATCGTGAGCAGAGGGTCAGGTACTCCAAAAGCATGAAGAATGACCCAGAGCCCAGGCCTACTGATGGTATCATAGGCCTTGACCAGGTCAATAAAGCAGAGATGTAGGTCTTATTGGAATTCCCTACACCTCTGCTGTAGCAGACGGACAGAAAATATGGCATCTGTGCAGGACCGCCCTTTCCTGAAACCGCATTGGGGCTCCGCAAGCCTCTCCTCAGCGTGCCTGGCAAGGCGATGCTGAATAATCCTTGCCAGGACCTTTCCCGGCACACTGAGGAGTGAGATGCCCCTGTAGTTGTTACAGTCTGTGCGGTCCCCCTTCTTAAAAAGGGGGACCACCAGGGCATCCTTCCAATCCTGCGGAACCCGTCCAGTGGTCCAGACTGTTGTTATGATGTCATATAGGGCAGTCTGTGCACAAACGCCACCCTCCCTCAGCATTTCGCTTGGGAGATCATCTCTGCCCGCTGCCTTTCCTGGTCTCAGACTCCGGATCGCCTTCAATACTTCCTCAGCAGATGGCACCTCAGCCAGCCACTCACAGGGGGTGACTTCATCCAATATTTGAGGCACCGCAGCCTCAGCAGGGTCATCCTCACTTTGTGCCACGATGTTTTCCTGGCTGAGGGATTTTCCCTCCCCCAGGACCTCACAGAAATGCTCAGCAAATCTGCGAACCTGTTCCTGGGGGTCGGAAATTGGATCACCGTTTTTTCCCCTAATGATGGTAATAGGTGTGGCGCTGCAGGTTACTTTTTTGATGGAGTTAAATAGAGAATTGTGATCACGGGCCACTGAGGCAGACTCCATCTCCTCAGCAACCCGCGACCACCACCCATCCTTGCAGCACCTCACGGCTCTCCGAACCTCCGAGCGAAGGCTGCGGTAAGCCTCCTCATTCTCTGACGTGGGATTCTGTAGCCGATGACAGTGGGCCTGTCGCTTTTTCTCAACCATCCTGAACAACTCCTCTGTCATCCAGGGTGTCTGGGGAGGTCTGGACCGCGTACCCAAAGCAGCCATTGCAGCTGCATGAGTCACAGTCCTAAACCTCGCCCATTTACCCTCGACATCAGGAGGAGTCGGGGACGATGCCAATCCCAGCCACAAGCGATGATGAAATTCTCGCTTGCAACTTTCATCAGATAACTGAGACCAGGCCACTTTAGGTTGGAATGGGGTCCTGGGTGTACACCCACCACCGGAGTGGAAGAATGGCAGGCGCATCTTACAGATGACTAGTCGATGGTCAGAGGGCAGATCAGCTCCACGGTAGGTCCTGGTGTCAAGGACATGGGCTCGCATTCGCTGGTCCGTCACTATGTAGTCCAGCAGATGTTCTTGCTTGGACCCGGCATGCATCTATGATGTTGTGTGGATGCGCCGATGCCGGAACAGCGTGTTGGTAATTACAAGCCCATGGGCTGCACAAAAATCTAGCAGCCTCCTACCGTTGTTATTGAGCTGATCTGGCCCGTGCCCTCCAATCACTCCAGACCAGGTGCCAGTATCATGACTAACTCGGGCATTGAAGTCACCCAACATGATGACTTTATCCCGAGGGGCCACTTTAGCCAGCACCTGTGACAGGAGGTCATAGAAGGCATCTGACTCATCGGCTTTGCCTGCATCCCTCCACGGATGTTCATCTTCGGTGGGGGCATAAGTAACCACGACCACCATTCCTCGCCTCCGGTTGATGGGAAGGCGAGCCCAAAGTAGCCTGGGGCTTACAGCTTCCCACACCTCACCGCCACGCTCCCACGCCCCCTTCATTCTTTTGTTCAAAAGAAGACCCACACCCTGTTGTTTGGCAGTCTGCTGCCCCGAGTAGAGGACTGTCCACCCCTCATGGTGGCAGGAGCCAGAGCCGGTACACCGGACCTCCTGAATGCCGCATAGATCCAGGCGGTACCGGTCCAGCTCCCGACAGAGGAGTGGCAGCCTCTCCTCTGCAGTGAGCGTTCGAACATTCCACGTGGCCACCCGTAGTGGCTTTTCGTTGTTTCTGGAGTAGCCCCGAGGGTAGGTATTCGATCTCCTGGCTCCGCCAATTGGGGTTTGGCCAGGAGACATCATAGACGCCTGGCCCCCCGGGGCCTCCGGCACAAGCTTAGTTGTTACATATTTCAGTTTAATTAGTGGTTTCGTGGTAATTAATTGAAGGTGGAGGGGTTACCAGCCCCTCGCACCCGTCCAGAGCCCCCGTTTAGCCCCTGTGGTGGACACATATGCCATGAGGGGAGGAGCCAATCAAAATTGGATCTCCCCCCACAGCGCTGTCCACGACAGAGTTGCCCGTCCGGCACCGCGAGGAGGTACCATCACCACCACCACTACCACCACCATCACTACCACCACTACCATCACCATCACTACCACCATCACCACCATCACCACCATCACTACAATCACCATCACTAATATCATCATCACCACCATCACCACCACTACCACCACCATCACCAATGATAATCACCACGTTAACGGTGACGACGTTGATGATGACAATGTTGACGATGTTGATGTTGTTGATGGTGACGATGGTGACGATGTTGATGGTGACGATGTTGATGATGTTGACGATGTTGATGATCTTGATGTTGACGATGTTGATGGTGTTGATGATGTTGATGGTGACGATGTTGATGGTGACGATGTTGATGATGTTGACCACGTTGATGGTGACGTTGTTGACGGTGACGATGTTGATGTTGTTGATGATGTTGTTGATGTTGTTGATGGTGTTGTTGATGTTGACGATGTTGTTGATGATGTTGTTGTTGATGTTGTTGATGTTGTTGAAGTTGTTGTTGTTGATGATTATGTTGTTGATGGTGACGATGTTGTTGATGATGTTGTTGATGTTGACGATGTTGTTGATGATGTTGTTGTTGATGTTGTTGATGATGT